ATAAATTTCAGCCTTAGCAACCCTCATAAAACAATAGACTTAATTTCTGGCCTACCCTACCTCCCTACCATGACGAGGATGTTTTTGTAAAGCCATGTTAGATGGTTGCCTTTCACCTAAGAAGTTAAGATTGTGGAAACTACACTATGACATGGCAATCATGATTAGAATATCTTTGTAACTGGAGAACTATTTTGAGCAAACTGTACTGGCATTGAATTCTGATTAGTGTGGCTAATCCCAACCAAAGAGGTCCTTCCAATTTTATTTATCGAGAACATAATCTTCACTTAGGGTTACCTTGATCTGTGTTCACTGTCAAACAAAAGTACAGAGAAATACCAGTAGTTGAACAGATACCTGTGATGTCATATGGAAATTAGACATATTTCCATATGACCTAGAGGATTACCTCCCAAGCAACACTGGACATGGATTTGAAGGTTTGGTTTTACTCAGCTATTCAGACTTTTTGAATTATTTGCCTTCTATTATGAGGGAAATGGTGATTTGAGAAACATTTATGAGCTGGAGGAGCTAACAGGAGTGCACCAGACTATTTCTGTTATAGGATGAAAATTCAGAGCACTTAGTAATCAATAATAAAAGCATCTCTTTCTCATGCAAATGAATTGCTTGATTGGCTCAGAGGGCAATTTTTTTTGTGCTCAACTTGATTTAAGGTTGTGTGTAAGATGCTGCCTGAGCCTGTTACAGATAATTTCAATTGCTGGTCTTGCCCTTTGGCTTAACTAATGTTTCACCAACTTTAATGACCCTAATGAATCACGTCTTCCACCCTTTATCAGCTTTCTGTGTTAGGGCATATTTGCTAGGAACAGGAATCTCATCCAGAACTGTTAAGTAACATACACCAATCTTATTTTTGGCAAATGTTACTGGTTTTCTGCCAACTTGAAAATGAGATTGAGGAAGAGGTATAGGGAACCGCCAATAAACAACATTTAAAAAACAAAAATAAGAACTGATTGCAGGCCCAAATATTGAAGTTTGATGGGTCTTTAGGGAGAATACATTTAAATGTACTTCAGAAAACTTTGTTTATGACTTTGCCATTTTAGCACTTTAAAAATAAACCATTTCCTCTGCATTGTTAAAAGTGCATTGGACAATATTATTTCAATTGTAGCCCTAGAAAGGCAGTAGATGCAGAGTCCAGATCAACGCATACAAAAGGTGTTAATACATCTTGGTAATTCATTGGAACCAGTAAGGGGAGCTTTAGATTTTGGATAACTAAAGAAAAATGTGTGACTAGATTTTTCTATACAAAGTTGTGTTATGGTTGTAATCTCTTGTAAACACCTCTTCACCCTCAAATGAATTTAACAAAGAAATGACGATAAAGACAGCATTTCCACGAATAAGTTGACTTCACTGGGCCTCTGAGAGCTATCCACTCAAACCTTTCCAAGTGACCATCGTTCCTAACGAGGTGTTCAAAAGGCTGCTTTAGCAATGCCATATTGGAAGTTACATTTTTGAGCATTGCTCTTAAAAATACCTCAAATATGTTCTTTTTTTTTAAAAAACAAATATGGTTCATTCTCAATCCTCCCCCCTCCCCCCCCATGCACTTCAAAGCCCCTTAAGTAGTGGAGAAATATCAACTTGTGTGTCAAGGAAGCCATCAGAAGCATATGCAGGGCAGTCCAGTGAACACTATTGGCATTTGGGCTATGTCACCCTTATTCAACCAAAAAGAAATTTTGTCATTTAAGAAATTCAGGGTGAGCGTTTCAAAAGCACTCGGAGGTTGGTTTGATTCTGAAGTTATTCTTCAATGAAAGCAGGAATAAACTAATACTGAGCACTTTTTTTTTTAAAAAAAATTCCCGTTTCAAATATTTCATAAGAATTGTATTTGTAACATTGCATTCATTTAATAGTTAATTTAGAAATTGAATGTGTAAGTGTCAGATTTGTTATCTGTGTGGTATCCACCCTTCATAATAGCAGAACTTGCAACATGAGTTGTGTAACAAAAAGGACAGTTTTACACATTGTAGAGAATTGGCAGGACTGGCTGGAGTTTGGAATGATTAAATATGTAAGTCACGTGGATGGATGAGGTGAATTAGCCCCATATGACTGGCCAGCTTTGATTTGAATTAAGCCCAAAAACAATTTTGTTAAACTTACGTACATGGTGAAATCTTCAACTATAATCTTATTGAGATCCTTTATGGCTATTGCTGAGGGTTGTAGTGGCCTTTTTTAGGAGGCTTATTAATTGCTGCCTTGATGTGCTGTTAATTCAGTTATTGTCTGTGTCTTAACATCTATATTCACCTAGAGAGCAGTGAAAAGTAGAATACATAAATCAAACTTAACAAATAAAACATTCAGAAGCGGGGCAAATGCTCTGAGTGACAGCAGAGAATCTGTAGGCAATTGAGTTTACAAAGAATTATTCCAGGATTGAGATAAAAATAACTGCTCTCTTTATCTGAAGCTCAGTGCTTGGGGTTAGGTAAAAGGTCTGTTCTTTAGAAACACTGCAGAGTAATTATGTTGGTTCATTTGATGCAGCAGACTTAGCAGAACTACATTGGATTAGGTTATCCCTTTAAAGCTGCCAGTTGGGCCGAAGATTCAGCCAGTATGTCATATATTATCACCAGTGTGATGTGGAGAGACTCCTTTACAGTTACAATCCTAGAATATTCTATCCATTCCTCTGTGACAGCTGTCAGATGGAAAACAAGACTAAGTAGATGTTATCAAAGGCTTGGTATTCTAGATGGGAAAGTCTTAATGAGGCTAGCAAGATAGCCAGATTGGGATGCTCTGAAAGAACCATTTCATTATTCATTAAATGCCAGAGATGTTATTGAAGACTTCATTTTTTTTTTTTCAAAAACATGAAATAATTATTGAAATGCTTCTACAATGTTAATGCTCGCTTACAAAATCTTAATGCTTTTTCTATTCCTAAATGAAAGGGGGAAATGTTGGGAGGGGATAGGTGTTCTACCTTGCAAGCAAAAAATCCCCTAAATGCTGATTTACTTATGTTTTAAGCATATAAAATTCCTTTACTCTCCGTGACAAGTGTCAGATATGGCTATGATGATAACAGGATAGATCCGCACCACAGCAAAGTGTTCTTTCATCTCTTGGTTGCGTTTTATCAAAGGAGAACACAGTGCACAACTTCTAGTTAGGAGGCATCCCTTTTTTCTTTGTTCCTGCTTGTTCAGAAAACCAATATGATCAGACTGAGGTGGCAGACATAGACGTTCTTCATCACTTTTTTTGCATCTTTTGGGGACTGTGGATCTTTACTCTCTTATCCTCATCACCAGCTTTGGCAGTGGTCTGCTTGATGTCAGCTTGAAAACTGCATCTCTAATGAATGTGGTCTCCATGGCCAGACCCAAGGAGATGCTTTAGCCTAGAAGGTTTTGTACAAATATTATGTACTATGGAAGAATTTCCCACCTCTGTTCAGACATCATCTGCTGAGCTGTACTTCTGTTTTGCCTCTGTCTTGATTTAAAAGGCTTGGACTTAAGAACTGTAACACAGTAACTTATTTATTGTGTTTTTTAATGGGGGTACTGCCCTTCATTACAGCCAGCACATTGTCCTCGGGTCTTTAAACTTGTTTAAATTTCCCATTCCCCCTGAAACATCGACTTATTCCACCTTTTCCTTGAAATGTAAGTCCCAGGGACTGCCCTTTTTCTTCCTTTCAGGGTGGAATGTATTTACTTGTTGATGAATGTCAGGCAGCTCTTGAGCAATTTTATAAGCCTTGAGGGTCACCTTCATTCTAGCTGTTGGCAAAGTTAAAGATTTTGTGCAGCTCTAGAGTTTTGGGTAATCCCTACATTTCTGCTCATTGCGACACACCAATTTTCATGCATTTCCTTCCCTCCTACATATTCCTGTTTTGATATTAGCAGCTAGCATTGTCTCATAATTGAAAGTCTTATCCAGTTAATTACCATGCCTGCATTTCTTACTATTGGTATTTATTTTGCTTACAGCAGTTTTAGCAAGGGGATAAAAATGCCTTCTAATTATGGTTAAACAATTGAATTAGCAAATTTTTGCTGAATGAAAGGATCATTTTTCTCTCTGTGCACACGTATACGTTCATGCACTTCCAACTAACTCTATCGGGTTTTAAACATGTTAGAAACAGTCCTTGTTCTAAAGAGTTTTCCAGTCTGAAAGATGAAAGTGGATTAAGCATGAGGGGAATAGGATTTCCAACCTTGAGCATTCAGAAATTGGGAGTCCTTCTGCTACCCTCCAGCTCCTCCAGTAGTGATATTTTTCATCTTTATTTGTTTTCCTTTTGGGATCTGAGCCTTTAGGGTTCGTGATCTTCTGTTCTTCTCCACAGCCATGAAAAGGCAGCTATCTAAAACTGAAAACTGAGGTGGGCACATAATCACATGACTCCAAGAACTAGGGCTTTAAGAAATGAAACAAATATTACAAAATGCTGATACAAGGAGAAGGGAGTAAAATACCTAAGCAAATTATTCTGGGTATTTCATAATTTTGTGGGTGGGGGAGGGGGGGAATTTTATTTAAACTTTTTCTTAGTACCGACCAATCTAGTGGGTTGTTTTTTTTTCGGACAGAAATGGACCTTGAAAAGGATTAAATATGCAAGCAGTGGTTACTTAGATTTGTATCAACTTGTTATCAGTTGCAATGCCTTTCACTAGGCCTGTGTGAAACGGCAGGTATTTGATTCAGATTTGGATGTCGCTGATTCAGAGGGACAGTGATTCAATTTGGTGATTTGAGTCACTGTCCCAATTTGCTTCGGCTGATTTCGAATTCGGAGATTCAGCCATAGACTATGTACCCGCCTCCGCTCTAGTAGGTGTTCCCGCGCCGCCTTCGCCCGAGCCCTAGATCTTGCGGGCCCCGGGCTTACGGGTGGACCCCGGAGGCTACTCCTGGGGAAGTCAGGAGGACCCCTGAACTCTCCTGCCACGACTTTGAATGTAACTTCAGTGGGGGGGTCCTTCCTTGGGGTAGCCCCTAGAGTTGGCGCAGTCCCCCGCGGGTAGTCCTGGGGCTCCGTCCTCCCCTACACCCTGGCCACTGCTGCTTACAAAGCGGCCGGTTCCTTCACTGGCTCTGCTGCCTGAAATGCGGCTGGCCCTTCTGCTTACAGCACAGCCGGCTCCTCCACCGGCTCTGCTGCCTGCAGCGTAGTCAATTTCTTCCCTGGCTCCGCTGCTCCCAACGCTGTCGGTTCCTCCACCGGCTCTGCTGCCTGCAGCGTAGTCAATTTCTTCCCTGGCTCCGCTGCTCCCAACGCTGTCGGTTCCTCCACCGGCTCTGCTGCTTGCAGCGTAGTCAATTTCGCCCCCGGCTCTGCTGCTCCCGACGCTGCCGGTTCCTCCACTGGCTCTGTCGCCTATAACACAGCTGGCTTCTTCACTGGTTCTGCCGACAGTGTCAGAGCCGGTTCCACTGCCAGCACGGCTGCCGGTTGTGCTGCCGGCTTTCTCGGAGCCCGCTCTGGCTCCGCCCCTTGCACTCGCTGCAGCTGGGTGCGGTGGCTGATCTGCTCCCCGCAGGAGTTCACTCCCCTCGTCTCTTCTCATCAGTAGCCCCGCTGCCTCAGCGGGGCCGCTTTTTGTTTCTTCCGGGAGGCATCCTCCGCCCCCGCTGCTCTGCCGCAGCCGGATAAATGCCCAGCTGATCACCCGCACTGGCTTCCTCGGCGTACGTGCCTCCCCCGGCTCTTCTGGTTCTGCAGGAGGTAAGTATGACTCCTTGCTGCCCCGGGGTTCCTTCGGTGTCCCAGCTCCCCTGGGACAGACTATAATGAGGAATCACTAAAATACATATAACTCTGTCCTTTATTTTGCAGATTATGATGAAAACAGCAGGGATGGTAGCCCCTTCTGAGGGCATGAAGCCTGCCAAGTTTCAAGGAGATAGGTACAGGGGTTTCTTGGACAGTGACCCTCAAACTGTTGAAAGCAAAACTCATATCACTTGTGTGTGTTAAGGGGTGTAGGTAGTAGCCGTGTTGGCAGACAGGTTCTTTGGGTCAATCTGATATATTTTATTAGACCAACTGAATAGTTGAAGAAATATATCTTAGCAAGCTTTTGGGTTTAAAAACCTTTTGTCAGGCTGAGGAAGGATCTGCAGTTGGTGTGTGCTTTCTCCTGACTGGAATGAATAGTAAAGAAGCCAGAGGCTGGTATGCAGGCAAGAAAGTCAGTCAGTAGAAATGTAAATTTGAGGTGTTGGGGGGTGAGAGACAGGCTGGGAGGGGTGTGTGGAAGGGGGATGTAGCAGGTAAATATTGGAGAGGTACCCATAGAGTCAGAATGTAGGCAGGTTATATTGTGTCACAAATCCAATGTCTATATTGAGTCCATGAGGGTGTTTTTTTGTATCCAGTAGGCTGATGAAGTGAAGTTCATAGGCTCATCTGTGAAAAGTGTTTTGTACATTTTAAACAAGCACTGAAACTTGCTAACCTCATCACCAGAAGCAAACTTCCTACAGCCCAAAACTTGCCAAATGGATCCAGACCATGCCATGACAAGAAATGTAAAACCTGCCAATATATCTCCAGTACCCCCACAATTACTACACTCCACAACACAGCCATGACCATTCTGGGATCTTACAGCTGCATCTCCAGAAACGTTATAGATCTCATCCAGTGCACCAAATGCTCTGATGGAAAATACATAGGAGAGACCAAACAATAGCTGCGCACCAGAATGAAAGCACACCAGATATCTATCAAAGGCAAGAATACCCAATTATCTGAGAGGCACATTTCTCACAAGAAAACCAGCCTCTCTCCAATCTCACAGTCCTGATCCTCAAAGAGAATTTAGTCTTCTCCGAATTGAATTGGCTACTGAAGCTTCGCACAGCCCTACTTTTCACCCTAAATGTGGTCAAACCCACTAGATTCTTGCCCTTAGAATCTATGCAAATAAAACTCTGTAAGGTCCATTTGTCATAGCATGCATTTGGATGCAAGGACTGAGCCCTGCAGTTTTGTCTGCATACTACATAAATCAAATAGGTAAGTTTTAAACAACAGTGCTACACAGTTAGGCTTTTTACCTGTTATGTACGATATGCATCTGTGTTAAAAATTCTCCAAATAGTCACCATATTTGCTACTATTTATGGTGGCCCTGCGCACCTGTAAAACCAGTCTTCTCTTCCTTATTTTCACCTACAAACTAGTTGCCTTCTGTTTTTACTTCTAGGCAAGAAGCAACTGGTTTGCTAGTTCGATCTTTCTTTTTAGCAGGAGCAGATCACATGGGAGTGCCAATTTACTTCAGCAACACTTGCACGATCTATTTTATTTTGTCATCTTCAAGTTCAGTGTTATCATGTGTCCCATATGAGTAGTTTGATTTCTGCCCTTCATCACAAATGATGCATTTTGACACTTTTTTTACCATTTAAACGAAATAAAAGAATAGTCACTTCCTAAATATCAATATTACATTGTTGCCCTTAATAAATAGTGTGAAAATAACATGTGGTTTGCACTTGGAGAGCATGTTACCACTCCTTGGTTCCATAGACCCCACCTTGGCCACTCATAATTTACTCCCATCTTTTTCAGTCCAACCTCTCTTTTCTAATTGTTGGTAATTTACATTTAAGAGAATTAAGGTCTCCCTTGATAATATCCTTCCATCATTCATGAGCTCGAACCGTAGGAAATAACCTTCCCAGAGGAGTTTAGTTGGTCAGTCTTCCATCGTAATAATAGGAGTGGAAGGGAACCCAAAGGTCCTCTAATCCACCCCCATGTGCAGAATCAGGATAGTGTATCAAATCATGCATTGCTTATAGGAGTCACTAGGATTTGACTGTTTATGATGCTTGGTTCTTCACGGATCTCTGAGTTCCTTGCAGTTAACTAGATATAAATGCTTGGACAAGAAGATGTTACTATAACAATTGCTTTAATTGCAACTGGCAAGTATTCAGGCAGTATCAGTTTTCCATTGGCTTTCTTTTTCAGTTTATTCTCTGGAAGTATATTAATTTCCTTTTAATATGTTGTTCTTTTCTATCAAAAAATGCAGCTTGGTGTAATGAAAGTTAAGATTTTCCCTTTCCTCTCGAAAAACAATACATAATCAATCGCAGATTCTAGCAGCACTTTTCTTCCCCTGTGAAATGAAAATAATGCATCATCTTCATTTTAATCTCGTATACATACACTGTTTTTGAGGTCTGTTTTTAAAAATGTGTGCCAGGAAAAATCATGGGTTTAGTTACTTTTTAACAAGAAATCTTGACCAACTTAAATCTTTAAAATCAATATTTAAAATGTATATAATGGAAGGAAGTTATTTCCCCTTCCACGCTTCTCTAGAGAAGATTACCCCTTTAAGTACTGTTTAAAAAATAAATAAAAAAAAAAAAAAAATTGGTCAATCTATATCGAACAGTTTGAATGATCCTAAAATGCCCACTGACTTCTGTCAAGAAAGACCAAGCTTCTTTGGACTTTAATGGTGGGAGGAGAAAGCTCATATGACATAAATATAGAAATATTGACATTGTGAAGGTTTACAACTTAATTTTGCTTAGGCAACCACCCATCCAACCCTTTGGGGCTTAGTGGAATGACTTACATCTTGTACCACTATGGAGTATTATCCTCCATCTCTGGTAATTAGTTAGCCTTGGGTAACACTTCACTGAATTATTAATGTTACTTATTGCTTCACACCACATTTAGTTCCTGAACCCACCTACACACATACCAGTTGCTGCTTGGTCGATTTTGATGACAAAAATAACAAATTGAAACCATAACATTTGTTTACTCAGAGCACATTAAGCTGGTAGTTATCAAATAAGAACTGTATTACTACCTTAAATTACCTTGAAAATAAAATCAATAGCTTATTTAAACACAGACCAAACAAGAAAAAAATTAATTGCCCCCAGGAAGGCCCCTAACAAGTTTCATTTAGAAAGAAACAAAGTTGATAAAGTAGG